GAAAGGTTATATACCTAGGAACCACTTTTGGTTTCCACTTTACTCACATGGAAAAGCAATTCTGATCGAACTAAATAACAGCCTATAGAAAAAAATTCCTTACCTGATTATTTTCATGATCATAAACAACACACAGTTTCCTAAACAGTCTGGCTGTCGACAATCTATGCTGCCGCGGCTATCTGTCCTAGCCGTGGCAGCAAATGCTAGGTTTTCTTCCATCATCTTTTACTCTGGTTGTTTCATAATCCTATGGGCAAAAACACAGTTTGCAAGAAATGTAGATGGCTGATAGCAGATATAGATGTTTCTGTTAGCAAAATCCAAGAATAATAACACACTTTATTTTTGTCTCTTTTTAAAAGTTTTTTTTTAATAACTCTAGCTCACTATGCCTCCAAAGTTTGCGAGAGGCCAGATGGCGTTAAATTATTGTCAATCAAAAGAAAACGACTAAATAGGAAGCACACCTGTGAATTTATTTTCAGGCAACACCTCAAACATTATGATTTTTATGTGAATACATGGGAAAAAAATAAATAAATAAATATCAGCCAAGATACTAAAAAAAGAACTGTACACCAAATATTAGGAATAATTTATAGGTTCCTTAAAGTTGAGTAAATAAAAAGACTTAAAAGATCCTGACTCAAGTTGGTGAGCGAGTGTTGCTGATAAATCTTAGAATAAACTGACAGATCTCCAGACAGCTCTTACTTATGTCCATTGGCCTTCTTGTTTTATTGTGAGTGACATAAATGGCTCTTTTAAAGAGATGTTTGCCTATGGTATTTTTTATTATTTAGTTAAATGGATGGAGTAATATTTCCATGTATTATCGTTCATACATTCAAGGGTTGTGTGTTTTCTAGGGCAACTTTTCTCAACCTTGGGGTCATGACACCAAATGGTGTCGTGAAATGATTTCTGGGGCACTCCAAATTATTTTTGAAGAATATAAATAAGGAAAATGAATGTCGCTTCTGACCGAGAATTAGCAGGAAAGTGAGCATTTGGTCTCAAACAGGCATTTAATTACTGAAAACCAGATACCACCTTGACCACGTCATCAGAACTGCAGGAAGCCCTACGTACTCTATCTCTTCTCTGATCGTACATTAAAGACTGCTACTTCTCTGCATGCATGCTCGAAGAGTTCTGGTTGTCAGTAGCAACAGAGTCCCCAGCACTGTCAAAAAAACTGAAACTGATGTATTGTTTACATTTTTAATCCACATATCGTTCGAAAAAACCTATATTTGCTCTGAAATACATGAGAAACAAATACAGATTGTGTCTTCTCAGAGTTGAGAGGGATTTCCATTTGCCCTTTTTCGAACATAGAGGGAAGAGGCTGTTCTGTTCAAACAAGCAGGCCCAGCTATTTCATTAAATTGTCACAGAAAAACATCTCTGCTTTTGACAAGGAGGCTTTGTTTAATTTCTAAGCTCCCAGAAACATAGATGTTTAGTAATAAGTGGCCTGTTTTCTAGTGTGTTTTCTTAAAAACAAACACATATAACATTTGTCACAGGGTGGGGGTGGGGTAAAAACACAAAAAGAGAGACACAGAGGGGGGTTTGTAGAGATAAAAGAAAAAAAAACAAACACAAAAACAAAAAAAAAAAACAAAAAAAAAGGAAAAAAAAACAAAAACAAGGAAAACTCAAGGAAAAAAAAACAAAAACACGGAAAAACGAAGTAAAAAAAACTTAAAAAAAGAACCAGCACTGAGGAAATGCACAAGGAGAGTATTAATGGCGACCTGAACAAAAAGAGGACTAACGAGCAGACTGGGAGCAGGTGGGAAGAGAGAAGTCTAAGGACCTAGGGAAAAAGGAGACCAACACAAGAGGGCAACAGAGGGCAACCAATAAAGTCTAAGAACTGAAATATAACCAGAAAACACAACAAAATAAGAATTAAACCAATAAAACTAGAAAACATAAAGCAAAATTAAACTGAATACTCAAAAGAAAACATAACAGAACCAAGCCTGTTATATTTTATGGAAAAAGAAAATAAAGTTTGCTTTATTTGTTGACAATTTAACTGCATCTGTTCGGTAAATTAGCCTCTTGAAGCTGCTTTATATTTTTCAAAAAAATCCCAGTGTGATTCAGAAGATGAGAAAGAGACTTATTGGTGAAGTGAGTTCAGAAGTGCCTGTCTGATGACCTGTGGAAGGGGGTCATGGAAGCAGTGCATGTGAAATTGGTGGTTGTGACTCAAAAAGGTTGAGAATCACTGATGTAGGTTAAGCTTACTGGGAACATTGTTTTCAAATGTATTCAAGAAGCAAAAGAGCCCTGTTTTACATTACCTAATATAAATTCCCTTTCTTTCTTACTGCTCACCCTTTATCACAATCCCTGCTGTTTTCCATCTCACTGCTGCTTGGAGCTCAGTTACAACTCTGAAGTATTTTGGCTTTAGAAGCCTGGAAAATGTAATTGATCTAAATTTAAAAAAGGATCTTAATGGGTACAGAATATAAACAGGATGTTCAGCCAGATTCGAGAATCATTTGGACCATCTGCCCATTACCGATACAAGGTTTTCACTACAGCAACATGCTAAGGGCTGAAAGGGTTTTATCACTCTGTATGAATGCTGAAGGATTCTTGCACATTTGTTTTTATAACCTTTCACTGTAGATATCTTTGCTGGGAATCCTCAAACATAAAGCGGAGACATTTACTGAGACTTCCACAGAAGGCTTAAAACCTTTGGTGAGCCTTTAACTCTGAAGACGTTCTCTCTCAGATCTTTAAACGCAAAGTTTGGGTCGATTCCCATGGATCTCTATTAATCTCCAGTCTCTGTAAATTTCTCCTTTAAGTGTGTCCTCCATCCATGCCAATGGCTTTAAAGTCCAACTCGCACACAAACATGGCAGACCTGTCTTTCCCCTGGGGTAAAATTACCTCTCTGAATAATTCAGCCAGGCTGCTTTGTTCATCGATCCCTCTTTTTCACTTCTCCCTCACGCAGCCACATCTTTCACTTAACACACACGCTGAGAAGGAGCCCCATTCATTAGAATTCAGCACCACTTTAAATCTGCATTCTTCCTTCTACCAATTGCAACTGGATTCGGAAGTTTCAGATCACTCTGGGAAGGCAAGGAACCTTCTGGAGAGGTCACTATCCATGCAACACCATGCATGTAAACAGTTCCATGTAAGGACAATTTAGAGTAACCATTTACTGTAGCCTCACCTTTGGCAGGAAGCTGTGGTAATAATTGCTTCTACTTGTAAGCACTTTATCAAGTCCAAGGATCCCAAAGTGCTTCATATGTTTAGTCACTAAACCATTCACACACAGGCTGAAGGTGGCATGTTGCTTTGTGATTATACACCTGAAAGAGTTGTGCTACCTAAGATAAACATCTAAAAGTTGCGGGACACTGTTCCCCGAATATCCCTGCCTGTAAGTTCACTTCTACACAAGAATTAAATAAACAGTGCACTGCAACAAACAACTAACACATGTGGATGTTTGGACTTTCTGCAGATTAACCAGTCAGAGACTCATAAAACCATGTGTGAGTGCACTTCACTATATAAGGTTAATCTGTAGGAATGTTCAATAGTAGGCGTGAGAAGCAACAGACCTGCCCTCAGGACTGGAGCAGAACAACAGACATCCAAAGATCCCCCAGAGCACAGGAACCCTGGAGAGACCACCACGGTGAACAGCCCCCAAGCCCCCTCTGAGGCCTTCATAGACCAGCAGCCTTTACATTGACACAAAATTGCGCACATCTGGACTCTGTTTGCTAATTAAGTGACTTTTAATGGCTTTTGTGGTTTTGAGGCTTAATCAAAATACATTCCTCTTCCTCACTTTTAGGATTAAGAAAGGGAGTGCTCAGGGTATCTTAAGAGTTTTAAACACTCTTAAAATACCTCTGTTATGGCCTCTGAGTGCAAATTGGCCTAAGGTGAATAATCAGACAATTTGTGATTGGGAGACCTTTACAAATATAGACTATGGAAAATAATCAACCCTCCCTACACCTAAAGGGTGGTTTATATACTCATCTGCATTCAGTAAACGCAGATATGCCCCTGCCACTTACGCAGACACTCTGGCGCACCTCTCCAAAATTGTAGACACTGCAGACAGTGCCGCAGACAGGAGGCCTCTGATTGGTCCAATCTAGATCCGCCCTACACTATGCGTATTTCCTGTTTTGGTACCTACCTTACATTTGTATGACCGCCATTGTGTAAAACGACTCATGAAGATGGAACAGCTAGAAGAGCGAGGTGCGCTAAAACGCTGGGCGCCTTATGTCTCTCCGTTGTTGCACAAACTTGCCCCTTATGTTTTTCCACTTCCTCACCGCCTCGGCCGTATCTAGACCCACAGCTAGTTCGTGATTGTCCCTCTTGCGTTGCGGTGTGGAATAACATAGTGCAGACAACGCTTCAAAATTGGGCATAAATCAAAAATATCTGCACGCACTGCTGCGGGAGTATAACCAGCCCTTAAGAAGACAGAGGAAGCTGGTTAGGCTCCTAAGGACCATTGCCTGGGATGATGATGTTGAGAACAGGTGTAATGTAAGCCGGGGACATAAGTGTACCAATTATCTGCGTCATAAAAGCAACATTCCCTGCTCTCAGGACAGCCAAACTGGTGGACTCTATAGACACCAGGTGAGTGTATTGATATTGTTAAGCCTCTGGTGTTTTAGTTCCCCATGGTAGCTGAGACTGTCACCTCCTTGTGACTTCATATTGTTTGTACTTTTGCATCAAACACTTGTTCAGAGTAGCTTGTGTTCTTGTAGTTTCGGGATGGTGTCTAGGAGGGGTGCAATCTGAGAATTTTCTTAGAATTCAGGAGAGACTTGAAAGGGCGAATTAAGGACGCAATCAATCAGCTTTCCAGATCCAAATCTATGTGATCTGTTTTTGGATATCTATGCTAGGCAGATCTAGAACAAAAAATATTCTCACAAGGTTTCTTTGTTCCACATAAACCTTTATCAGATGCATTTCTTGGCAACAGATGTGCTTGTATAAAAAAAAATCTATGCAAACATATGGTCATTATGACTATTAGTTTGATTGAATAAAATCAATAAAAGTTAGAACTGTATGTATTACTTTTCTGAAGAATTTCTCTACAAACGGGTATTTATAATCTTTATTCAGCCCATTTAGTCTCAACAGACTCAAAAATGTTCACCTCTAAAGGGTAAAGAAACCAGGAAAAATAAAGAAACAAAGAGAAAGAGCTATTCTGCATAAAATTTGGCATACAGTATGAATATTGCATTATTACAGTTTTACAAACAAATGTACAACAAATACGTCATAAATAGGCTCTTATTGGGTGACAATGGGGAGCCAGCTTGGCTTGATTTTCTTTTCATTTCCCATCAAGGAGAAGCTGTTTTCTTTATGAGGAGTACTCAAACTCTTCTGCGCTGCGCCGGCCAAAATCCATCCACCCAACATAGTCCCTGTCTGCTATCCGATGCTTGGTGCCCAAACTGCCGCCTTTTTTCTGGGCCATGGAGTTTCTACGCACAGAACCTGGAGGGAAGGGAGGATAGGAGAGACCATGGGTGGAAGAGAAAGAAAGAAGTAAAATAAGTTTTCCTAGTGTAGAGGAACACTCTGACAGATCTAAGATTGCAAGATATTTGAGGTTTTTACTTTACAAAGCTAAGTAATTCCAAATTCTTTCGATTAGGTTGTTCATCTATGACTTTTTTTCATTTGCAAATATTCAGATTTCATCCTCTACTTGACACAGTATCCCTGCAAAGATATCACAGCTGTTTGGTATATTCATTTTTTTATCCCTTCCAACAAACTTTTGACGTTTAAAGAGGTTTGGATTTTACATTTTCTCTTTCTTGAATTTGAGTTTGGAATTGCTCCACTCTGTTAACACACGCACGCACAAGCCACAGTCACACGTGGGCTTTAGCCAAAAGAAAAGGGAGATACAGCAGCTATGGCTGAATTACAACTTGACAGCCCCTCATTAGCCTGTGCATCCGCATGACTGCATATGAATGTGCACAAATTCATGCCTCCGTTTCTCCTTATAGATCTTTCAACCTCCTTGTACCCTTTGACACCCCAACATCTTGTGCAACTTTTCTAGCTCTGATCTCTAAAAAATCCTAGTTTTCAACTTATTCGATTCCAAGTGAAGGGGAAGCAGAAGTGCTATCTGTTTGGTAATCAATTCCTCACTTGCTGAGATCCACTCTTCACTCCACCCACATCCTCCCACGCATCACACACACACACACACACACACACACACACACACACACACACTCAGACAAGATATGAATGCAGAGCCTCGGCCTCCTGCTGAGCTGAGGAGACCGGCTGCAGAAGGCTCGACAACGACACCTCCCACACCGAGGCATGCAAGTGAACAGCAAGATTGTGAACAACAGACACCCACAAAGACCCTACGAACAGAGGCTGGCACAGACCCTCAGGCATTACATATTAAATTCAGGCTGCCCTTTTGGACCGTTATGTCTAATGTTTGTGTTCTTTTTCCCTTTTTTGTTTAAATTTCTAAATTAATTAGAAACATATTTTAGTATATAACAAACTTTTTCCTCTTTTTCATTTTTTTATTTACGTGTTTTATTTATCCTCTGTTTTATCACTTTTTTATTTTACAGGGTGACAGCTAAAACGCTGATTGATATTAATTGGCAATATATTAAGGTTCACAGAAAACAATGATATATAAATAAATTATTAGAAATAACTACAGTAATAAAACTAAACTGTATTAAAAGACCCCTTAATTATAATAAAAAATTAAGGTGTTTTTTAACCTAGCTGTAATTTTGATAATTTAACAGTAAATTTGGCACTTGTTACTTTCCCACTGTGTCAGTTAAAAAGCAAACATTACCTGATGCACGACTTCAAGAAGCCTTGATCATAGAGATTTAATTAATGCCACTTAGACAAAAAAATAAGAATCCTTAATGAAGATATGAAAAAGGGGCTTTTTTTGCACCATTTCCCATGGTTCATTCTGGTGAAATTCTTTTGAACAAGTCAGAAAATTAGAGATCCTTAAGTGTGCGTGCCTTAGTCAGAGAGATGAAAGTTCAACATAAAGAACACTGAGTTCTTAAGAGAAGAAAAAAAGTAAGTCTGATTTGGACTTAAACTGTGTGAGAGGAACAACCGGAAGCCTGTACACCCTGGAAAACCCTTTTTCAAACCACAAAAGCTTTTCAGAGCCACTAATTCATTTTACAAAGCAGCCTTTACACTAATTCCAGTAATTAGCGATAACCCAAGGGAGGATGATGCAGGAAAAAAGCACTTGTCTATGAAAATCAACATAAGTTGCAAGTGCTTCAAGATGTTCTTCATATTTGCACACGCACATAGTTGTCAACCCCAACATCCTTCATTAAGGTTGCAAAGCCCATCCCTTGCACACACCTTTCCTCGTTGAGATAAGCCTTGCAAGCAGCTCACTAAGGTTTGCACGAGAGTCTGCATCCTCCTCAGCCTGAGAAAGAGATTTCAGCTGGGGGCTCGAGCGGCTGAGTCGGAGGTGAGTGTCTGCTAAGGTTGGGCTGTCAGCATCGAGGAGACCTGCTCAGCACAGAGAGATAAACAGACACATGAAATCAGAATCACATTTTGTAAAAAAAATCTGGGCGTATTTGTTGGAACACACTTTTGTACCTGCAGAGGGAACTGAGAAGTAGCGCTGCTCCTCTTCTTGGGGTTGAGGGGAGAACGGGAGCCCCAAGCAGCTTGAACACAGGACTGCCAGGAGGGCACACACACATAATCCTGCAGACATCTGAAATAAATAAATAAATAAAAAAAGAGATAAGACTTTTTGTCAGTAGATGACTGACAACAGGAGTAATCTCCCTCAACGAGACAGGTTTGACCATCTGCTAGGCAACTGCTCTGTCATGGAAAGTGATCGGTATTGTTCTAGTGAGAGTCTGGATATTAACACCTCTCACAAAATCAAAAAAAGATAGACCAGAGCAGCCTGAGGACAGTTTATCAAACTGACCTATTTCAAGGTTTAAAAAATCTCATTCGTCTATAATCGGGCAAAATCTCCAAAAAAGCATTTTTTTTTCTATAAATCAAGATAGTACATAATTTATGTTAACATTGGTGGAACAAGGGGCAAGGATATCACATAAAAAAAAAAAAAAACTTTAAAGAAAATTGTGAATTTTATCATTTGACTGAGAAGAAAATGTCAGTTTGAAACAGAATGGACACTATATGACCAATAAAAAATGTCCAATAAAATCACAGTTCTTGCCATATATTCACACGAATGAGAATAGAAAACAATACAAACCCCGTGGATAAGTTGCGAATCGCATAGATGCATTAGATAAAAACATTTAATAACATCTCAAAGTAATTCAGCACAAAAATAAAAATAAAAAACATGCTTCCTTACCTTGATAAAACAGGTTTGTCGTATTAAAGAAGTGTGCAAGAATGAAACGAACACTTCTCTGATGAGTGGGAAGGATGCCCCTTTTATACTCATCGCTCAGCCCCTCTCTGTCTTGCTGTGCGTGTGTGAGAATGTGTGTGTGTGTGTCTTCCATGTTTGCAAAGCTGATGTGAGCGAATCTCCGGCAATGCAACAGCCTACTTCATGTTTACTGTCTGTTTCCGTGTCATTAGATAGCAGGTCTGGAGTTGCATGTTTGGTGGAAACAAACTTACATGGCAGTAAAGATTCAGGATGCTGATCAAACGAAAAGCCTCAAAGCTGCTGAAATAGAAGAAGCTGAGGGAGTTTTTTAGTTTGGAGTTTTGGATATAAAATGTTTCTGTAGAAGAGTTATACAGCTGAGGATGGTCCTGTTGGTTTGGGCATGGTGTGTGTGTGTAGGTATCAATGCACGGATGTTAAAATAGTAGAAAGAAGCATAAACATATCCCAGAACTGCTACTTTTGTTAAGGATGTTGAAATGAGACATTGTCACAGTCCGGTGGAAGGCGAGCGATCCAGGCTGCCCTCCTGGTTTAATCACTGGGGATTAACCCAGCCCATCGATCACAGCTGTCAGGCAAATCAGTGGGTCTTAGTCGATGGCTATATCGATCAGCTGCTCTGGCTTAATGTTTTTATTAATAGGGTGTAAAGTCCGCAGATTCACCACAGGATTAGGATCTCCGTATAGGTTAATGGAGCTGTGTTTTATCTGCTGTTGAAACAACGGAGAACACCACTGTTGAGGCTCATAAATGCAGTCAACATGAGCTGCAAATTCACAGAGGAACCTTTCACTCGAGTATCCTAATTAGGAGAGAAAGATGACTGACAGTTCAAAAGCTCATTCTTTCACGGTTGTAGAGGAATCAGTTTTTGACTGAACATATGTGCTGAGAAACTCTGAATTAGAATTGATCTTTTTTCAAAACTAACCTGAAAACCTGGAAACTCTACATTTTTATAATACTATTTTTATACTCTTTATTTGTTTTGTAAATGACATCCGATTTTTCTTCCTTCTAAAGTACGTCTTTAGCATTTTAATGCCTGAGGCACATCTCTGCCTACCAGCCAATGATATTACCGGCAATCATCCAGCAGATTAATTCTGCCCAAAAATGTCTGAGCCAAAGAGTTAGGCATTCTTATCTTAGGGAAATATAAAATCAGTTATCAGTTTTCTATTTTGAATCTTTTTCTTAACACGATAAAGCTTGTCTACCATCTAAAGGGTTCAGTATTTTACAAAAAGATAATATAACACTCACAAAAGCTATGTGTTTCAGCTGCAGGGGAAGAGATGCTACTCTTTTAAAATAATGTAAATAATAAATAAATAAATTTCATCAAGGAAGGAAGGAAGGAAGGAAGGAAGGAAGGAAGGAAGGAAGGAAGGGGGATCTTTGCTATACGTATACATCTAAATCAGGGGTAAACAATAAAAAAAATCAACAGGGTCCGAATAAAGAAAATCATTAACCATTAAAGTCCGGAGACATTTTTACTTATAATCTGAATTTAACGCTGAAAAAAATGAGGTGTTTATGCATCCAGGTTATACATTGAGTTCTTAAATTAAAAAAAAATCTTTAAAAAAAAAAGAAAAGTTTTTTTACATTTTAAAATCTAAAGTTTTTTTTAAGTAGAAAAAAAACATTAATTCAGTTTGGTATATAGACAGTTTCCTGATTCACATATTTTATGAAACTGATCGTTTCTTTCTTTCTTTTTAATGGCTCAATGAGAGCAGTGGGCTTTATGCTGCCCTGCAAGGCTTTAAACCTGAGTTTGAATGGAGACTAAGCCATTCTAAAACTCATATCAAGGTGCTCATTATGAGCCTGGATCCATGTTTATTTTTGATTATGTTCATGGTGGAGAATCCTGCTTCACAGCAGCAGGTTGAGCCAAACATACTCAAAATGTGCAGGATCATTTTTGAGCACCATTTCACTTTTCTTTTACCAGTTCACAGTAGTTCTTCCAGCAGTCCAAACTTTCTTTCACTTTCTCCTTCTTTCCCATCACCTGGCTTGCCACAGGTTTACCTGCTGTGTCTAAAAGTAGCTAGCAGCAGCAACCCAGACTAACAGCAGCTCATTGGCTAATCTGTATCACGTGTAGCCTGGTGCTGGACACTCTGGAGGGATTTACCGTACAAACAGGAGAAGTGTTTTAAATCAGGTTGGGTCCGGATTAGCCAACAGGTGGGTGCGGATCCGGACAGCGGTCCAGTAATCCGTGACCTCTGATCTATACGCTTTAGATCAGGAAAACCGAAGTTAAACTACTGAACTGCTTGTTAACAAAAAACAATAGATCAACCAGTGCCTTCATACATCCATATGGTAAAAGGCAATTAGCAGAACATGAAACGGAGTCTCAGATCCAAAAAAAGGGAGAATTTAATTTCATTCCTATAATTCATCACAATTCACTTCAATAAAGAGCGGTTTATGGAGATTGGTTTAAATCAGCTTCTTTATGGGTATTCAATAAATGTAGGAAGAAACAATGTCGGTATCAGGATACAATATTGGTACACATGGGTAAAGGGGTGAATAACGTGCTTTTTGACATGTCTGTTTTGTCTTTTCTATTGCAGAGGATAATCTACATGCCAACATCTACACAAATCCAACCAAAAACAAGCATGCACAATGTGCCTCCATATGCCGCCGCGTGCATCACCACTCTGTGTCGTTTGTGAGGTATCACACCATAAGTGAGTAAACTGATGTTAAATCATAAGAAACACTTAAGACTAATGTCAGGGACATTGCTCTTGGAATATATACTAGTGCTGTGGTTGGTGAATCAGGTTGATACCAATGGACATCTCCTGCATCTTCAGAAGTCCCAGTTGGGTTTTAAAACAGTTATAGGAAAAACATCCTCAATCACATACTTTTTTTCTTTCACGGAAATATTCCACGTTTTGCATCCATCTACTCTACATGTGTTTCATTTTCTTGCTGCACAATCACAAGGCACTGGTGTGGGAGGTGAGGCCAGCGGCATTCAAATTAGAATTAATTAACCATGTGGTGTGGGATGCATGCATGTGTGCTACCTTACGTCTGAGGAAAACACTTTCAGGTGTTTTTACTTTAAGTTCATGTTTTGCAAGCAGCTTTGATGCAACCTGTGGAACATAATTGTTCTCTAACCTTTTAGGATAGGAAATCAAAGTCGCACCACTGTCATTGTCAGTTTTTTTACCCACATGCAGAATCACACGAAGAACCAGTGAGTTTTATTTACAAAAAAGCAACAATAATCTGGAAGCTGAGAACAGCAGGATATCTGTAGAACTTTCTGGTTTGAAAGCAGACTGATCAGGAAGCAGTTGGTTGATGAAAACTGATTATAAATAATGTGTAAAGGACATTTTGCTGCTGGTTTAGTTTACACCTACTATGGAATAAATAACACATGGCCCCATTAAGCTTAATGTCTGTGTCTTGCACTCTAATCTGAACGTTGCCAGGCAAGGAAACACTTTGAAGTTGTTTCAGCAGTACTACCCTGAACCTTTATCTGCCTTCATTTTAATCAAAATTAACTTTGAATTTCCCCAAGTTTTACATCGCCTCTGTTTTGACAACTAGTATTTGCATCAATTAAAGGAAAACAGAGAGACATTCAGGAAAAACAACAAGAAAAGAAGAGAAAATCAACTAATCCATAATGCTTTGCACTCATAACCGAGTGATCAGGGTAATAATGAAAGTATTGCCAAACCACAAAAACAGTTTCCTATGGTTGCTATTTAGTGTTGGTTTGTTGTTTTGTTTTGCTTTTTACCTTGGTGCTGTTTTTTTATATTAGCAGATGATGTTGAAATAGATAAACTGATTTATTTTCCTTGAAAACACCTTTTCCTTTAATATTGCACTTTATGTTTTATCCTTAAGTTTAATCTTCTCTCATTTATTATTAGGTGAATTCACTTTGCTTCTATTTAACTCTGAGAAATGTCCGGGAATTTAAAAAACTCAGTTCATATTTGACCAAACTGTTCATAAAAACAAAGGTTAAACTAGCTAAAAGCAGGTTTGATACAGAAATTAAACTTGGCTATCTTAAAAACCGTAATCATCTCCAAAGGTTTTGTCTCATTAATTCTTGGACTGGTAAAGCTTCGGCCTTAAACTATATTAGCAATGCCTGGAAACACGAGACAATGTGTATTTTGGAGAAAAGTGGAATTTCAGCATTTTATTTTTCAATCAATCATAACCAAACCTTACAAAATGCTCAAAATAATCTGTTTTAATTTAAAAAAAACAGGCTGTGTTTTACTATCAAAGATCTTCAATTAGGATTGTATGAGATATAAATAACTGAAACTTTGTACTTATTAAGAATATTAAGAATAT